TGACAGCTCCCCTCCATGATGTCGGCGCGCATTGAGGTTGCCAGGCAGATCCGCCAGGCTTCTGCCTCCCATCCTAACCTTGTCGAACTTCTTATATTCAGAACAAGCCCGTACGACCGCTCCATCGTTCCTAAGGTGTCAATATTACGAAACAATCTGCTGCAGGTTTTTCCCAGTTGTGCTAACCTTAGGCAGTTTAAAAATCGAATTAACAAGGTGCCTCTAAGCTCCTTCTAGCGGTCGCTGTGCCCCGGTATGTGGTCTTTTAAGCCTCATTTTCCAACGGATTTTCCTCGGACATTATTAACGTCAATCAAAAAATATCTGTGCATATATCAAGTCAATCTGCTTGACGCATTTTTATAGTATACATTAAATTCGCTGTTTTATCTGACTCCCACATTGTGCGCCGTTTCACCTTCTCAATCTTTTCCGCCTGCATTTTCTTTTGTTGTATCTGCTAATTACTCCTGACAACGTGAATGGTATTTGTCATTGAACTGGTATGAATGGTTCTACAAACAATATACACGGTGGCCTCGATTTTCTGGAAATGGTTCTGTACTTTACATCTGCACATCTGCATTGTTTCTAGTGAGCGATTGACGCTTAAATGCTGATGATATTTCCTAATAAATTGAACGGTTTCGGTTCCAGCTAATTGAATACATGAAACATTTGGTGTACTTTTTGTACGAAGCCATAGAAAGTTAAAGTAACGTATTGATTATGATTTTGAACAGGTCAGAGTCTGGGAAATTCTCTTCTGGTATACCTTTTTACCCTTAGAACAAAGCAGTTCCGGTTAGAATGAGAAACAGAAGGCGGCATGTGCGACTAGCAGGCCTAGCATGCGATAGCATTATCGATATGGTTGGAGGAACACATTCCGTTTATATATCTGTAGAAAGGTGCTTGTAGCCAGCTATTAAAACAGCATCACCAGTCAGTCGAATCCTAAACTACATCAAGTATGTGCAATTTCAATAACTACTAACGGCTTCTTAAATACAAATATAGATGCGGAACATCCGTGTAGATATTATTATATGATGAAGAGGAAAGATAAGATAAAAGATATAAGTTGAGTTTCTAGTGTGGGATCGGTAGATAGCTCGTTATTATAAAAGATGTCTAAAAAAGTTATTTACGAAAATTTTAGGCTCCTTATGGAAAATATGCCGTTCTCTATATTTTATTTCAACACAAACATACGTGTTTTTGATATACATAATGTATATTTTAATATGTACATTGATTAAGGCCTCTTCAAAAGAAGACGTTTAATATAGCATACTGTAGGGTCACAGATTATAGAAATGTGACACCTGCTGTCGGTCCCTTTGATCTTCGTGTCCTCCAACTGCTTACCACATTTCCCGCTTGTGTTCACTAGCGTGCGGAGGATTTTTTCCAAGGGGTTGTTACGCGTTATTAGCACGAATGTCATATGTCAAACAACATAATCAAGAAATTTATTTGTGTTCGTTTACTTACGTGCATTTTGGCTAGATAATTATTATTATTTCTTGAAAAGGTACTTATATATTTATATATAGTATTGATAAAACTGTTTTTGATTACCCCTAAATCCTAAATGTCACAGCAACACGAATCCCACGAAACGCATAGGACTCAGTTGGCGATGGAACCTGATTTTTGACAGTGTCGCCTGTGTATGATAGTCTGTAGTAGGGTTATATTATATGTAGGTGATATATGATAAATAAAAAGTTTGCCACTATTTACAGAAAGTGACTGTCAAAAGTGACTGACAAAAGCTCCTGAAGTAGAGATCCGAACCCTATAACATGTTAAACCAGACTTTATCTTTCAAGAAGGCTTTTAAGAATTTACTAAACTATACAAGGTATTCCATTCAAAACATATTTATTTTGCCAAGTAGATATAAATTAGCCCCCAGAGAGTAGCATGCTTCCCAAGTGAGGAGCGTATAGTTGCTTATAATTTTTGAAAATAATTATTATATGCCTTTTTTACGGTAATGGACTTACCGACCCATCATATACTAAAAGCTCACCCTGTATATCTTATCAGTTGTTCCTTGAAATGGATTATTAATTACTGCAGAATGTGGGTTGCGTTCAACACCCTCCGAGATTCCATATTCGTCAGACAGCCCAAGCATAATGGGATTTTTTTCAGATCCATCACACCATATCTTTTTCCTAGCTGTAATGATTCATAAATTATGTAGGACTCAGATATTTATATATTTTCCTAATAACTGTAAACGGCCATTTATTCGGCCAGGCGACCGCACATTTATAGTTCAGTGATTGTTGGTGGTAACCATTTTTTGATGTGAATTGAAAGGAAAATTATTTATTGGAAATATGCAAATAAAATGTTTAAAAATTATGATAGAAGTATTACTGCTTTGTTTTTAGTTCATCTATCAATGATTTTAATTAATCAACAGGAATTAAATGTTATCTGAAACCAAACATACTTTGATCCACGAATCAGCAGCAGTGACATCACTTGTGCTTATGGCAAGGTATTTGAGGTTATGCTCAACTTTTATGGCAGCTATGATAATGTCAAACGATCGATTCATTGCTCTGCCTCTGCGTTCTTGAATAGTCTGTGCGTCGGTGTCATTAAGAAGAAAGAATTAATGGGTGATTTTTTTGCTAGTATCTTTTTGGCAACACTGTTTTTGACAGATGACGCGTGAATCGTGTCTTGTGTCATTGTCAAACTTGTTCAGTTTGGTCTATAATTTAACCATGAATCGACTTACGAACGAACAACGCTTGCAAATTATTGAATTTTACTATCAAAATTCATGCTTGGTTAAGAGAGTGCATCAAGCACTCTTCCAATTTATGGGCAATTTGGTCGGCCTACTGAGGGAGCTATTCGGAAGCTTGTGACTAAATTTCGAACCCAGTTTACATTATTGGACATTAAACCACCATCACGCAGACGTAGAGTGAGGACTGAAGAAAATATTGCGGCTGTATCCGCCAGTGTTAGTGATGACCGTGAAATGTCGATTCGCCGCCGTTCGCAGGAATTGGGCCTCTGTTACTCCACTACGTGGAAAATTTTGCGACAGCATTTGGGTGTAAAACCTTATAAGATACAGCTGGTGCAAGAATTGAAGCCACACGACCTCCCACAACGTTTCCCATTTGGTAAATGGGCGCCGGCAAAGTTGGAGGAACCACACTTTTATCGAAAAATTGTGTTCAGCGACGAAGCTCATTTCTGGTTGAATGGGTACGTTAACAAACAAAATTGCCGCATCTGGAATGAAGACCAGCCAGAAGCATTGCAAGAGCTACCAATGTATCCCGAAAAAATCACTGTTTGGTGTGGATTATGGGCCGGTGGCATCATCGGGCCGTACTTCTTCAAAGACGACAATGGTCGGAACGTAACTGTGAATGGCGAGCGCTACCGTGCGATGATAACAAACTTTTTTTTGCCCAAAATGGAAGAGCTGGACTTGGCTGACATGTGGTTTCAACAAGACGGTGCCACATGCCACACCGCCACGAAACAATGGCCCTATTGATAGGCGAGTTCGGTGAACAGTTTATCTCACGTTTGGGGCCCGTCAATTGGCCGCCTAGATCGTGTGATTTAACGCCGTTCGACTATTTCTTGTGCGGCCATGTTAAGGCTAATGTCTACAGGGATAAACCAGCAAGATTGACGCACTGGAAGCTAATATTGAAGCATTTATTCGTGAGATACCGGCCGATATGTTGGAGAGAGTGTGCCAAAATTGGACCTTGCGCATGGGCCATCTAAAGCGGAGCCGCGGCCAATATTTACATGAAATGATCTTTAAACATTAAATTATATCGACCGTTCTATCGACTCAAATAAAGATTTAATCGTTTTTTTCAAATTTTTTGTGTTTTTTTTGTGAAAATCAAATCCTATACCTCTTAAAAAATCACCCGTTATTTCTCTGTCTGAAGTGTATGTTTCTGAACCAGATTATATCGATTCTAAAAACCTTCAAGCACCAATTCCAACATAAACGGCTCGAAACATTTCATCCTATAGTGTATTCAAACCTCATTTATGCGCCGTCAATACAAACTTCATTATTCATTCTTGTTGAATTCCACGCTCTTTCTAACATACATATGGGATGCTCCTCGCGGTTCTCTCTCGTACACATCACGACGTCAGCCAAATTTGAACCTCACCGTATGCCTGGGCAGACAGCATCAAGCGAACATGGCTTACCTTACAATAATCGTTCTATTTCTGTAATGACAGTTAACAGGACTGAGACGTCATCTAGCGCGATCTATGTAACAGTAGCAAAATTTAGAAATCTACTTTAACAAGAATTACAATGCTTGTTTCTGCTACTGTCCCACAGATGGCCCTAGGGTATTCAATCCCTTTTAGCGCGTCCATAATAATACTTATTTTAATTGGATATCTTCAGGCATTGATCAAGGTACTCCACCCGAACATACCCAATCTAAATAGGTATTATAGAGGTGCCAAAAAGGGAAGAATCAGTAGTTTCACTGGCTTTCGCCGCATACTCATAGCAGTCACGATACTATAATATTTAAAGTCTGAATACATGTTGCTTCTTGCATGATTCTCGGTTAAAACAGTGCGAAAAGTGCTAACAGCAATACTCCGAAATATGTCCTGTATTTTTCCCAAAGTCTTTTGGGATACTTCTGATTAACTGAATCAAGCAGGGATGAGGATCTTGGTTGAAATGGGCATATTTGCTTCGTGTCTCTGTAACCGCAACCAACCGCGGACAGCGCTGTGTGAGCATTGTTTTTTGAAAAACTCAAAATACTGCGCGAAAGTCCTCGTGATGGAGATCGTCAGCTTTTTCGCCTACTTCCGCACTGTTGGGATCTTTTTCCTATAAATCAGTGATAAAGCTCACTGGACTTTAATTTCCAGTAATGCCACCACGCAAACACGAAAACGTGAATGAATGCTTATAGACCATAGACATACACTCGCCATTCAATATACAAGCACACAACAAACAATAAACAGGTTGTGTTGTCAATAGCAGTGGCAGAATAATTATGCTAACTGTATCGATTATTATGCGTAATGGAGCATGATGGATCGATTGTGACTTGTAACGATCCGGTGGACGGACAGATCGGTGACTGTGTTTTGTCTGTTAGGTGCGTGAACACTATCTGTGTCTACAAAAATGTGCATGGAAGGATATACTAGTGGTGGTAGTAGTAGCAGCGATGTTAGTGAATCGTGAAATCACGTAAGTTTGATGCGGTCACTGATCTCATTATTAGCTAGGTATTATGAATTTATAAAGCTTATCGTTCTACGGTTCTTAATAAGTACCTGTTGTTTAAATAAAACAAAAAAGCATACCGCTAAGAAAAGATGCCACAGCTGCATAGGTCACCTTGTATGGCCTACTTTGCCTATATACTCACTGGTTCCCAAGAACAACCCTTTTAGTAAGAGTTGGGTACGGTTTCAAACTCTCCTGAACAGTAGTAATGTTTAGCAGAACGCGACCTAAGATATGCAGATAATCCACGTATAAAAATAGACAAAAGCAACCCTTAAGCACTTGCGTGTATGTTTTTGATCGACTGTTCTCTTATTTGCAGCAAACCCAAGAACCGAGTTAAAGATCAAAAACATTCCATTAGATCCTAATCTCACCCCACACTGTAACTTCAATCATCACATGAAAACTAAAAACCATCAGTTCCAGATGGAAATCTTTCTGCGTACTTTTGTGTAAGTGAGTGAAAGTACTGGTCGTAGTACTGAGCCCTGCGGAACGCAGAGTTCAGCATAGCCATCTGATGAGTACACCCATATATACTAAGTGACATATAAATCCGAACACCCGGTTTAAATGGTTTTATTTTAATAAAATTTTGTATAAGTACTTAATGAAGCATAATAAGTAAATGATAAAAATTTCAAAATGATTGCACTGCTTTAAAGCCCTTTGACCTTTAATAATGTGTGGATGCACCCTGATGTGCATTCTCGAACGCGCCTAGGCATGCTTCTGATCAGGTGGTCAATGTCCTCCTGTGGTATCTCATTCCAGGCAACCACCAACTCCTCTCGAAGTGCTTCTAGAGTCTGAGGAGGACGTTGCAAATTGAGCAATCTCCTACCCATCATATCCCACACGTGCTCAATTGGGGATAAGTCGGGAGATCTTGGTGGCCATGGTAACAATGTGACATCATTATTTTGAAAGAAGTCTATTGTGACTCTTGCAACATGTGGCCGGGCATTATCTTGTTGGAAAGTTGGATCTGCCAGGGTGTCAAGATAGGGTAAAAGATGGGGTTCTAGAACTTCGTGGATATAACGCTGCGCGTTCGTTACCTCTGATGAAGATTAAAGGTGACCTGGAACCATAAGCTATAGCACCCCAAACCATAACTCCAACAGTGTGATGAACATGTCTTTCAACAAAAAACTGTGGATTCCTCCTTTCATCACGTCGCCTTCTAACCCTGGCACGACCATCGTGCATGCCTAAACAAAATCGAGACTCGTCACTAAAGACAATACTGTTCCATTCCTGATCCCAGAGTGACCGTTGTCTGCACCACTCAAGGCGGTTATGTCGGTGTTCTCGAGTTAAAGGGAGGACCCAGTGTGGCCGGTATGAAAACAAGCCAAAACTTATCATTTGTCGGTAAACACTTCGCATGCCAATAGGTCTTCCGTGTTCTGCAAACCATTCATTTGCAATGGACCTGGTAGTGGAGAAACGGGCCCTTAAGGCCAATAATCTTAGGCGGCGATCTTCTCGGTCTGTTGTTCTATGGCGGCGTCCAGTGCCCCTTGCTCTTTGCGTACGGCCTTCTCGAAGCGATGCCTGACAACACCTAACCACAGTGTCTACACTTCTTTGCTCTCTAACTGCAATTGCCCGAAAAGAAAGTCCAGCTTCCCGAAGTCCCACTATACGGCCCCTATCAAACTCACTAAGTTGACGAAATCGTACAGGTCTCCGTACTCTAGGCATCGTAACCGCTCGTAAAGGATGTCAAGAACCAAAATCCGCCAACGTTGATTCTTTACTGCGGCTGAAATATTCATTTTTAGAGCGTTAGTGAATTAAAAAAAAGCAGTATAAAAACCGGAATGTCCAACTGATAAGGCTGAAAATTTTTTCACTTGTTATTTACAGTAAGATAAATACATTCACCAACTTTTATTAAAATAAAACCATTTAAACTGGGTGTTCGGATTTATATGTCACTTAGTATACTTATAACCTGGGTTTTCTGCTTAGCGCTCGGAAGCTTTTTACAAAGCCTGGATTAAAACCAGCTTGGAATACTGTTCACATGTCTGAGGATCCGCTGCCTCTGTTACGTGCGTGAATACTATATGTCTGCTAAGAATCTGTGTAATCATGTAAGATTGAGGTGGTCATTGATCTTATTATAAACTAGGAACTAATCATTTGTACAGCCACGAGCCGTCTGAGCGTTCCAGGCCTCTTGCCAGGTCATTGATATTTTAAATCATCTTCCCATATTACTCAAGTTCACCCAGTTTTGTGCTCCTATAACAGCTAATGACGTTAACGGAATTTTTATACTATAAAAGTTTTCTTGGCCCGTCTGTAACTTAGAAGATACTGCTCGGATGTTGATGAAATTCTTACACAAGGTTACTACTGTGCCACGGATGGAAAATTTTTGTAGTTTTTGAAAATAAATCCAGTGGTGGCGGAGAAAAAGACCAAAAACGAAAAAACCACTTAAACTCTCGTTTTTTGTCGTTTCAAAGGATCATGATCATATTTGAATGAATTCAGGTGTGAAATAACGAGTAGAAGTTCACCAGTTTTATGCGAGTATGAAGATATTTTGTGCAATGATGAATCTCATCTATTTTAGCAGCGTTTCCTCAATACCAGGCGTACGAAAGTTGTCGTGGATTATTTGGAATAAAATAAATTCAGAATGGCTTTTCTCCAATTAGATTCATTATATTACTTGACGAGCTTTAATGGTTTCCATAGCCAACCACTAGTAAATCTACCAGAATATATGCCTGTTTATTCAGACACTACCTATACAGGGTGTTCCTTAATGTTATTCGAATATTTAAGGGTGTGAATCTATATGAAAAATTAGTGTTGGTTTGCTCTATAAACTATGGTCCAAAAATGTTTCCTTACAAAAACTCGTGGTGTTGAAGTTTTAGGAAAAAAATGGAAATTAATATTTTCAGAACCGATTCAGATATTTCACTGATATTTAGTACGTAGTGAAAGTTAATAAAGTTGCATATTTTTCAATGCAAAAATAAGTTTTAGCTTTAACAGTGGCGTGTGTATGAGTATTGACTTCGATATTTCTTGAGAAAAAAACAGCATTTTTGAACCGTAGTTTATAAAGCAAACTAACATTAATTTTTCATGTAGATTTACACCCTTAAATATTCGCATATCATTAACACCCTGTATATTGTGTATTCAAAGCCCATACTTTCAGTGTATTCCAAATCAACAGTGCTTTTTAGCACTCATATTCATTCTTTTCTACAGCCAGGGTACAGGAATTTTCATAGCCAGCAAACAATACAGATACTAGAGCGTTAATATCCGTTTTCGTAATCAATATTCCAAATTACCCCAGTGTGGTTCGCTTGTAACAGGGGATGACAAAAGGAAATCTTAGCTTAGCTTAGCTTCTGTTACAGAAAATTTTCAAATCTTCTTGTGTATTTACAGTCCATGCCAAAACCCTTTTTTGAATAAATCGGTTCCGTAGATCACGAATATGATGCCTCTTTTGATTGCGCGAGGCCCCTATATCAACCTTTTCTTGTAATTGGCCTTCTCGCCACTTTAGCATTTTCTAACGGCCAGATATTGGAACGTGGCTAAAATGGTCGATAATAATCCTTGTATGCATCTTGCATGACATAAAAATTACTTTCCATTGCAGCACAATGCATCCACCCAATAATAATGAAAAATGTATTTAAAAATCGTGAGGAAAAGATTGATTCGAGGTGTAGAAAATCGGATTACGTAAGGTGGCACAGATTTATGCATGTCTATATGATACTTATTTTATAATAGTTCCTGCTATCGAAGATAATATATGATTACATGCATTGTTTGTCACGACATGCCTCAATCGGATTTCTATTTGTAAAAACATTCTGTGATACGACTAGTTACTTATAAAATAATTGCAGGCGTGTACGTAATATGAACTTCACTTCTTGGTAAGTTTATAGCAACTAAATACACGTATTTGACATACAGTCTCGAACGAAGTTTTGACAGATTATTACTTATAGGATATACGGTGACTAAATCTGTCTTCCTAGTACGGTGGTACCGCAACATATTTCACATATCGTCAGAACGTTTGCAACATGACACCTGTTGTTGCAAAACCTTACTCTAAAAGTCATCGAAGAGTATTTTGGGGATAGTTGATTTTAAGGCGATTCCAACCTTGTTTTTCAGGCCAAAATTTTGGTTTTCGCAGACTGTACCTTGTTAGGTATACTTTTTGGGATCAATTCGGTATTTAATCAATACAGCTTCCACCATAATTCGAAATAAATCACCACCAATTAGTACTAAATCTTTCACCATTTTGCGATTTAATATAAGAGTATCCTCAACATTATCTTGTTCTGAAATATACCCAGTGAAAAAGAAAATAAAGAAATACTGTAACCCCATTTTTTGCCAGTTCAAAGAAAAGGAGTCTGATTGGATTTTAAAACTTATGTCCTTACGGGTTTTTCAATATGGTCGGATCGATGTCGAAATAGAACAAAACGAGTTGCATGTTAGATATTAACGAAATTCTGTTGCCTTAATGTAAATGTAAACATGTAAATCTTCCTGCCTGGAATATGAGCGGTTTGTTCGTACAGTGGTGACTTGTCGGTGACAGTGCCTGGGATCCGGCGTTGTAAAGTCTGTCTATAAAGCATAGTAGAATGAACGGAATTTGTCTGACGGGATCTTGGATCACTGACAGGTTGGCGACATCTATACGAACAGGGATGACATTGCGACATTAGTATTTAGCAGGACAGCTGAAGCGGTTGAATTTCAGCAATGGTGTGGATTACTGACTTTAAAGCATTGCTGGACTGCGACTTATTGATATACTATGTCTGTCATTTAAGTAATGAGTCTGGCAACGTAGCGTTTGATCTGGCAACACTGGGAGCACCAGGATTGGAGGGAAGACAGGAGAACATCTTTAAGAACCTATAAACATAAAAGACAGAATCCACGGAATCGTCCACAAAGCAGTGGCGACGCGTGACTTTTCCTAAACTGTTACCAAAACCAGATGTGAAAAATCTTATTAAAATAAGTTTATTTTGAACCTCCCAAATATAAGTTTTTGCTTATTATAGGTATTTTATTTAAACTATTTTTAAATTAAGGTAAACATTCCTGGACTGAGCGTCTGGGGCACTTGATATACCTCATCGTCTTATGCTATGACTAATCCAAGCCGTCCGAAAAACAGTCGACGTGTTCGGAAAATTCTGGATCTTTTTTGGCAATGAATGTTCACAATTCCCTGTAATTTCCTCAATTGTCAGAGTCATCCACTTCAAAATAAACGGTAATTCCTGTTTTGCCAAAAAACATACGGTATCTAGAAGTGTGCTGCCTAAAAGATTGGTTAAGACATATTTCGACTCTTGTTTTGCCAAACTGAATTAACTTTGCTACACATCTCACATGTAACGGAATTTTCATGTGTCCTCTTTAGAGCCCTAAAACTACTTAAATCGTTGACTCCGCTGCTGCTCCACCCATTTTTTTCTGTATAAAACAGTAGACATTGCCAACAATACAATCTGTTTTTTTTTGCAACCACATAGCCAAGAGTTTCCGTTTACCAACTTAATTTAAAATATCAAACTATGTTGTTTTATTCCTTTTTAAAATTATCTAAAATAGGTGTTGGTCTTTCATTTTCAATGATCTCCTTTTTTTCTTAAAAATTATACAAGAAGAATGACTTTTCAAGTAGTTGATCGATTACGCAGCGACACTGATCCATGATTAATTTCACGCACACTATAGCCGGTAACCAAAACGGCTACTAACGAGTGTGAAGTGAGTAACCAAATCAAAAAATGGTAACAAGCCCACATAATAGTCGCAGCGCCCCACGCACTCGGGCGACCGCGATCAGACACGAGCCGGTACCGACGGTCCCCGACGGACTACCAAGTGTATCCATAAATGAAAATGGTAACAACCGACAACCAAGTCGAGGCGAGTTAACTTCATCGTGTTCGCAAAACCTAGACACTATAGGGCGCATTATTTTTGTGGAGCTAATTTGCTATTTACTGAATTACTATTACACATCGCTGTTGGTAAACAAAGAAGTGAAATTATTTCACAGTGCTTAGTAATAAAATATTTATTTTTAAGATTTTTAACTGTTACCAATGGTAACAATGGTTACGTGGACGCTTCGCCACTGACACAAAAAATTTCTACCTCAACACCAAACAGTCAATCAATACTTTTACCGGGAAGTCCTTGAAAAACTTGTAAAAACGCTCATTTGTGTGAGGCCAAACATCAAAAACAACGGTGAGATGCACCACGATAACGCTCCTTGCAAGGCAGCAATATCAATAAACGAATGTTTGTCCAGTAAAACATTCCCGTGGCTCCTCAGCCTCCTTATCCGCCTGACTAGAAGCCTTGTGACTTTTTCTCTCCCCGAAATTGGAAAATCCCCCAAGGAAACTCATTTTATGATAGTAGTAAACATTCAAACGGCTGTAACCGACCAGCTGAAGGCTATTCCAGTATCGGAGATCCAGCACTGCTTTAAGGAGTGGAAGAACCGTCTCCTGCAATGTTTGGCTTCAGAAGGAAGTTATTTTCAGGGTGACAATAAAAAAAATGTAATTATATTTGAATAAAATAAAGTAAAATAATCAGTCTCATTACTTAATTTGCAGACCCCGTAGACATGAGGCTGAAGGTGGCGACTTATTCATAGAAAGTTGGTTGAAGCGGATTATTGATCATGATTTGACGATTTTTTTTTCGAAAACACTGTTAGCGATACAGGTAATCAATCTAGTTGGCCCAAATTTAACGATATGGATGTAGATATATATGTTTTCAGCCGAATGACACGTTGAAAATTCGGTGTCAAGTCTGTTTAACAGCATTTTTCAATCTCAAGGTCAGGAATTGGCTGAAACGGCTATGATTAATATTTCCTCTCTGTTGCAGATAACCCGCCGTTCAAATGAAGTCACGGAAGAAGTCACATCATCGATAGAAGCAAACCTACCCCCTTCCTGCCGCCTCCTTACCTCACATAACCTATTAATCTAAGCATCATCTTCGACAATGGACCGCGCCAGTAGGAACGCTTCACAGCAACAACAGGACCAATGGACGCGGAATATCTCTGGACAGAACGCGGCCATGGCCAACGAATACTTCGAGCAGTTTGTCAATGCGTCCAGCTTAAAGCACATCCTTGGATATTATAGGTATGTTATTGGAGCTTGATATGATCATAGGCTAAATATTGTAACGCCCTGGTATAGCTCGGACCTTGAGCGGCGAGGAGTCGCAGTCGCTTGGCAGAGTCGACGTTTGGGCAACCAGAGTTACGCGACCATGAATGGAGCGTGCTTCCATTCTGAGCCGTTAGCGACGCAATCACGAGTATTCGATACGTATCTAGACCACTTCCATGGAATTCCCCGAAGGCGCTAGAATGTTTCTCGATGCGTCGATAAGGGGATAAATACCCGACTAGATGGCGGAAGTAGTTAGTTACTGTCGACTATACAGTCCCCAGTCAAACAACGCGGATTGTCGTAGTCCAGTCAAGATGGTTGTAAATTGTCATAAATTAGTAACGGGTGATTTTTTAAGAGGTATAGGATTTGATTTTCAAAAAAAAAACACAACAAATTTGAAAAAACGATTAAATTTTCATTTGAGTCAATAGAACGGTCGATATAATTTAATGTTTAAATATTATTTCATGTAAATGTTGGCCGTGGCTCCGCTTTAGATGGCCCATGCGCAAGGTCCAGTTTTGGCACACTCACTCTGGTTTATCCCTGTAGACATTAGCCTTAACATGGCCCCACAAAAAATAGTCCAACGGCGTTAAATCACACGATCTAGGCGGCCAATGGACGGGCCCCAAACGTGAGATAAACTGTTAATCGAACTCGCCTCTCAATAGGGCCATTGTTTCGTGTGCGGTGTGGCATGTGGCACATTCTTGTTGAAACCACATGTCAGCCAAGTCCAGCTCTTCCATTTTGGGCAAAAAAAAGTTTGTTATCATCGCGCGGTAGCGCTCGCCATTCACAGTTACGTTCCGGCCATTGTCGTCTTTGAAGAAGTACGGCCCGATGATGCCACCGGCCCATAATCCACACCAGTGATTTTTTCGGGATGTATTGGTAGCTCTTGCAATGCTTCTGGCTGGTCTTCACTCCAGATGCGGCAATTTTGCTTGTTAACGTACCCATTCAACCAGAAATGAGCTTCGTCGCTGAACACAATTTTTCGATAAAAATGTGGATCTTCCTCCAACTTTTCCAGCGCCCATTCACTAAATTGGAAACGTTGTGGGAGGTCGTGTGGCTTCAATTCTTACACCAGCTGTATCTTATAAGGTTTTACATCCAAATCCTGTCTCAAAATTTTCCACGTAGTGGAGTAACACAGGCCCAATTGCTGCGAACGGCGGCGAATCGACATTTCACGGTCATCACTAACACTGGCGGATACAGCCGCAATATTTTCTTCAGTCCTCACTCTACGTCTGCGTGTTGGTGGTTTAATGTCCAATAATGTAAACTGGGTTCGAAATTTAGTCACAAGCTTCCGAATAGCTCCCTCAGTAGGCCGACCAAATTGCCCATAAATTGGAAGCAGTGCTGGATGCACTCTCTCAACCGAGCATGAATTTTGATAGTAAAATTCAATAATTTGCAAGCGTTGTTCGTTCGTAAGTCGATTCATGGTTAAATTATAGACCAAACTGAACAAATTTGACAATGACACAAGACACGATTCACGCGTCATCTGTCAAAAACAGTGTTGCCAAAAAGATACTAGCAAAAAAATCACCCATTATAAGTGTTACAAATTGGTGAAAAAGTACTAAATTGCACTTTGGTTAATAAAAACGGTGTTTTTGTTACGCTATGTTACAAATACGCCAACACGTTGCTCAATGTACATTGGATATCTCAGCTTTCAAGAAATATTTGCAAAAATCCAATAGTACAGTGCACAGTGTGGCCAAGATGAGTTTGTGGTCTCGAAAACGGTTAGAGCTACATTTTTGGTTAAATTAGGAAAAGATTGCGCAATATGAATATCTTCCACATGTAGTTTACAAAATTTTGCAAAGTTTCGACAAATTTAATAGCCTGAGTATAACGTTCTTTCGGAGTCTTAGGTTAGCCCTTTTTCTTTACGAATAAAATAAACTTTATGGATATTTGCTTTTGGACGGTAAAACCCCAGTAAAACGAAAAAGACTTTCAAAGAAAAAATCACTTTTGCCTGAAATATCTGCCGGACGAATTATCAGATCGCAATTTGGAAATAATTTTTAAATTCATTGTACAATTTTTATTCGAGAAAATACACATTTTCCCGACAATTCAAACTTTTAGCGCGTCTGTAGACCGAAGGATCGATCTAGAAAAAAATTAGCGTAATTTGAGGTATGATAAGGTTGTGGAATTTTAGTTTTGGCCGATTTCATTTCCTAAGTCACTTGCGATTAAGTATTGTAATTGCGAAACGTTTTGAAAATAAGCTATTATGTTTTTTAATGTTATATGACATCTAAATCCATACCATTAATTTCTGTCAGTCTGTCCGCTAATACTTGACCCTGCCATAACTTGCAAAGTACCGGTCAGGTTTTAATTAAATTTCCACAAAAGACTTATACTAGTTCAAGGACCAAAATACTTTATAGTTTTTGGAAATCGAACTAGTGGTGGCGCAGCTAGTGGCCAAAAAAGGTAAAAAATAAAAATCGCTCAAACTTTGTTTTTTGACGTTTCAGAGGATCCTGATCATTTATGAAAGAGAATATAGGGAACAAATTGGGGGTTGGGAGCTTGCGGGAGAGTATATCTCAATTTTTTGACGTTGGTATACTTACACTCAACCAGCTGCGGTAATTATACGCACCTATAAGATATATTTCACTATAGATATCCCCGTACATTCTTCCTTAAAACTTGATAAAGAGAATGATGTCGATCATACGCTGTTGATGCATGTGTGTAGCAGTCGGCCTCCGCTGCTCGACCGGGTGTGGACAGTTGATCGTCATACATGCCAAAGCTACACATAGTTTCGATGATGTGCGTCCGCAGGAATTTTTCTCAGGGGAATGGGAGGACCATCGCTTGGTAAGAGACAATTCTGTATGGAATACAGAAAAACACGTAAAATATGCAAATTTTAATTGTATAACTCTGACTAACTTGATCAATTTAATTTTCGTAGCCAATCTTTTTCTCAGAGGGGCCAACTTGTGCCGTATCTTTTATGACTGGTGACAGCGTTACAAAGAGAGTGCAGAGTCAACCTACTTGACGTCATTATTTTCAATATCTGATAAAAAATCTAAGATCGGTAGTTATCCAACTTCAATTCCTTTCCAGAGGATTAATCGACAACCTTCACTTGCGGCCAACCGTATTCACCCAATTCTACCCGAAACTCAGAGCGAACTTGACATCGTGGCGAGCGAAAGCACTATGGAAGAAATTCGATGCCAGAGCGTCCCACAAGTGTTACAGCAAGGGACGCGCAGCTCCAAACACCAGGGTGCTCATCATAGGAGCTGGGCCTTGCGGTTTGAGGTCAGCTATCGAGGCCCAGCTTTTGGGTGCCAAAGTGGTGAGTTCAGTAAACTAGTTTTTCAATTTAGTCTTTGATATTATACATCACACTCCCAATTCAGGGCGGTTGTAACTGCAAATATATATGGTATCCAGAAATTCAACGATAAATATGCCACAACATGACCTATCGTTTGGAAAAATTTTGTTTAGTCAAAAGACTCATGATTTTCGAGATACACATAAATTGTTATTTTTTCTGAAAATATTATTTTTTGGCGGGGTTTGTTTCAAAATATTCACAATAGATGAAGAAACACCTTTTTTAATGAAAGAAGAAGCAGAAATAACATATTGAAAGCTTAATTTTTTTTTAACATGTATTACATAAATAAAGATACATACAAGAAAGTTATACATAATTTTGAAATTTGCATTTTTCAAGAATCTCATGCACATATTACAGGCATACGTACTGCTTAGGTATGTGTAAAAACCGTAAATTATTTGGTAAAAAAACTAGTAATTTTCATTTGAACAGATTGTTTTTTTTATAATTATTTAGAACAGCAAGTTGATTTTATTTAATTTGTTAAGTGTTGCTTCTTGCTGAAAATAATGTTGAAACTTTTTCACGCAGCCTTACTTGTCACTGGAAGCTCTTCTTCATCGTTGTTTTCTAGTTCGTCTTCCTGTTCGTTATCAACGGATCCTTCATTAACCATATTGGAGTCTGACAATTCCTGTGTCGCTATTAAATTATTGTCAACATTTACATACTCATTAAATTTGTCTATATTCAGTAAACTATTAATTTTCAGTAAATCACTTAATGGAATTTCATCTTCTGGATTAAAATCGTTGACTATTTCAGTTATGTTTTTCACTAAAACAACTACGAATCATTTCTGGAGTAACCAATTCCCATGCAATAGTAAGCAAATTTATAGCATCTAAACTGGTGACAGCTTTGGTAATGTTGACATCTTCTTGAAGCTCCTTAGTTTTCATCAACATATGGTTCCGATACATTTGTTTAATGATCCAAATGACACCCTAGTCCATTGGTTGCAGAACTGATGTCACATTGGGTGGAAAAAATTGAAGTTTGATGTTATGAAGTGAAATATTTGGATGAGCGGGGCAGTTATCGATCAAGAGCAAAATTTTACGATTTTTCTTAACAAGTTCACCGTCCTTCTTTTTTAAATAGTCTTCAAAAATTGATGAAGTCATCCAAGCTTTATTATTTCCAACATAATCGACGGGAATTGTTTTAACACAAATTCTTTGCAGCACTGCCATTGGATATAAAAAAAATTAGAACATGAATTTCTATTCATTCACATACCTATTATCAATAGTTTCCATTTTTCAATACCAGAAGCATTAGCACAATCCGCTCTTTTGATAGTTTCCCTCCATTGCAAATTTCACCTTTTAATTTATGAGTTTTATCTGGTAGCATTCTATAAAATATCCCGGTTTCATCTGCATTGAATTTGTTATCATCTGAATAATCACTGGATATTACGGACCAAAATTGAGAAATCCAGTCATTGGTAACGTTCTTGTCAACTGAAGCTGACTCACCACACATTTTTCCAAAAACAATGTTATATCTTTTCTTAAACTTGTCTAGCCAACGAGAACTACATTTGAAGTGATCTTCAATCAATTTCCCAAATTCTTTAGCCTTTATTTGTAACATAGGTCCACTTATTGGAAAATTATAGAACGCTTTTGTTGAAACCATTTAAACAGCATATCATCGACTTGGGGATGCAGCGCTAGCCTCATTTTTTTCTTTTGACTATTTGATTACCAGTCATTTTCAATTTTGTCACTTTTTTTCCAAATATTTGACACAGTGGATTTATTATAGCCATACGAGCACATATATTTGCTTGAGAGGAACCCTGCTCAAGCTCACTATTATTGTGAACTTTTCGTGTAAAGTGAATGCACGTTTCGCACCTTTCGACATGTTTATAACTCTGATAAATACAGTATAACACTGGTGGCTAAGTTCGAAAGCAAACTGCATAGCCAAACCGCCGTTATATACGGGTTTCCATTATAAGTAAGTTCATTATAAGTGGATTCCACTGTAAGTTGTTTTTCTCTTACATTGTAGCGAAAACTACTCTAAAGCAACATCTGAACGAAAACCAATTTGTTCGTCTTACTTTGACCCAGATCCTTTACTAATAAAGAATGAAATATGATCTCCTTGCCAAATACTTTAAAAAGTTGGTCATTTAATGCGATTTTCAGAATCGTACTCTTTTCTAACATAATGTTTGTTTCAAAATATTTACAATTCATTGTTCAACTTATTGTACATATTTTATAGCTGAAGAAATCTGTAGGGGATTCTAAAAATATTAATTTTTTTGTGGTTGGTGAGTATTTAAATTAAAGAGGTCAATTTTAGACGAAAAAATGACTAATCGAAAATATTTCTCTAAAATATTATTTTACATAAATATTGTAAAAAATTCGAACGAAAAGAATTTCAGTTGTTCGAGTTATGATGTGTGCCATTTTGAAAAACGGTGACATTTTAAATATTTTCTGGTGATATTTTTTGTTGCTTGAATATTTGCTTAATACGAGTACATTCCTCCATTATTATAATTTTATTACCATTTCTTCCAGTATAAAAATGACAAATGACTTTTTTAGGCCGTTACAGTGGTGTTGTCTTTTAATCAATGATTTTATATAAAAGATAAGAGCCTTCATAGTTTTTTTCGGGGTTTTATTATTTCCCGTCCTCCATGCATGCCTTGCATTTTTCGATTTTATTTCTTTTTATTTGCAGGTTCTGGTAGAAAAGAGAGATCGGTTCAGCCGCAACAATGTTCTTCACCTGTGGCCCTTTGTGATAGAAGATTTGCGCATGTTAGGTGCTAAGAAATTTTTTGGAAAATTTTGCGCGGGAGCTATAGATCACATTAGTATTCGGCAGCTGCAGTGTATTCTCCTAAAGGTAGGATTATTTGCAATCATTTCCCGGTTTTATCAAATAAGGTAAATTGATTGAATGTATACGACAGCTGCTTCTGCTTTATATACCTATTATCGTTATTGCACGAATTAATTTTGTAACAATGATTTTAAAATTGTAGGTGGCGCTGTTGCTAGGAGTAGAGGTACATACAGAAGTTGGATTTGAAAGGCTAATTGAACCACAGCCCGATGAAAGTAAGCTCGATTTTCAAGACTTTAATAGTTTTTGTGATAATCAAAGTAATTATAAAAAGGATAAAATGAAGTTACTTTTACCAGCAACAAAGCTGGATCATATTTTTATCTTTGACATTACGAGTACGTATTTTTTTTTCAGAAATCGGTTGGAGGGCGGAATTGGATCCACCTGATCATCCTGTGTCTCAGTATGAATTCGATGTGATAATAGGAGCTGATGGTAAACGGAATACGCTACAAGGCTTCACTAGAAAAGAATTCAGGTACGATATTTTCACCAGAAAAAATAACACAAAATCCATAGTATATCTGCAGTTTATAATAATCCTTATTCCCTTTTTTCAGAGGAAAATTAGCAATAGCAATTACAGCGAATTTTATAAACAAAAAGACAGAAGCCGAAGCTAGAGTAGAAGAAATTAGTGGTGTAGCTTTTATATTCAACCAAAAATTCTTTAAGGTTAGTGCACATTTTAAAACTAATGTAGACTCTCTCTGAACAGCGAGGTAAAATTGCCAAACAAATTTCCTAGACTCTGTTTTTTTGTTAGTAGTAGTAGTAGTAGAAATATTTATTTAGCTCGTTTGGCTACATAAACAGAATAAATATAAACAACTTAAAATTAGTAAATTCAATCCATGTGGTGCACATGCTGGGCAAGCTGTAATTGTAGATTTAACAAGTCCTTTCTCAATATTACTAATCTAATTTTGTCAAAGTATTCTGGTCTTTTATTTCTGTGTCCAATTCATTATATTTAATAAACCCTTGATGGAATACAGATTTGTAGCATATATTATACTTTTTGGTCATTAAATGGAAACCATCTTTATTTCTGGTATAATTTAGTTATAAATGATGGAAATATATTATTTTTTACTTTTCATATTTGATAATTTTTTAATATAATTTGATATTTTTTTAACATTGAGCCATTTTAATTAGCATAGCATTTGTCTAATTGGGGTATTTTTATTTTTATTCAGTATTATTCTCGTAAACTTGCTTTGTAAAATTTTCAGCCTTTCAAAAATGGAATTATTAGCAAAATATAGAATAGTACAAGAGATTTGGAAGAAAAATATAGTTATAGATAATTTTTCTACTATATGAACTCGGACATCGAGAACTTCTTGAAAAATATATCCCACTTACTATTAATTGAAGAGCAAAATCCAAAAACCGATAAATCCACCTCTTACGATTTTTGAGGCATGGAATTTGGTTAAATTCGATATGCTCTATCCATTTTTAAAGGCAGATATGAGCAAAAGCCGCTAAATCCTCATGAAAAATGGAATTTCAAAAAGTTTTAAATTTGACGGGGATTTTTCTCTAGAGGTTTTTGCCGTTTTTCTGAGAACTACAAAACGTGTATTTATCGGTTTTTGCATTTTTGCTCTTCAAATTATCTACGAATGCAATATCAGTTGAACATTTGGACATTTGGTTATACCAATTAACATAGCTTTTGTTTTTCTTTTACTTAATTTGAGTTTGTTAGATGCTAATCATTTTGAAATAAGTTTCAAGTCTTCATTTATATAAGAGATGCCAGACGGAATATTTTGAGTTCTTATATAAATCAAATTGTCATAGCGAAAATTTGAATTTTCCTTTTTTTGACTATAGCAGGTTAATCGTTTATATATAAAATGATAAGAAGTGGTCCCAGGATACCGCACTGTGGAACACCTAACGTATTTTCAATGTTTGATGAAATAATGTTATTAACTTGCATCCTGTTAGACAAATAATTTTTGTTATGTATATAAACCTTTCTTTCTCCAGGAATTGCATGAAACGACACGAATTGATCTCGAGAATATCGTCTATTATAAAGACGACACCCACTACTTTGTGATGACTGCAAAAAAGGCAAGTCTCTTGGAAAAAGGCGTCATCAAGCAGGACCTTGCCGATACTGAAAAGCTTTTAGCACCGGATAACGTAGATCGGTAAGTCAATATTGACCTTATAATGGACAAATTTAAATTTGGAATCTTACCGAATTGTCGAGATGCGAGAAGAATTATCTGTGATGCCTTAAGTCCCCTCATCGTAGTATTAGTAATATGTTACGTAGGCAGAAGCCTAAATATCGGGTTTTCCAATAGAGACTTGACTACTTTGAAGTTTCACTGTGAAACACATCTTTAAATCAATTACCAAACTGTCAATATCAAAACATTCAGTAAAGAAAACATTTTCATCGTGGTGAAGTTCACAAACGAACAACGCTTACAAATATTAGAATTTACTACCGAAATTCCGAGTCGGTCGTAATTCTCGTCCCAGTAGATAAGCAATTCATAGTCTAGTAAAAAAAATTGAGCCCACATATTCCCTGCTGGATGTTCCCGTGTCAGTGAGACGACGGGTTGTTCGAAGTGCCGAGAATATTGCTGCCGTTCAAGCTTCCGTCGCAAACGAACAGAACACGTCGATTCCACGGTGTTCTCAAGAATTGGGGCATCGCTCAGACCACACTATGGCGAATTTTGCGCAGAGATTTTGGCTTGCACCCTTATCAGATCAAGTTAACTCAAGAACTAAAGCCATTCGATCATATGAACCGACGTACGTTCTCGAATTGTGCTCTAAAAATGTTGCAAGAAAATGACTAATTTCATCGCAAAATCATCTTCAGTGATGAGGCACATTTTCGGCTAAACAGCTTCGTTAACAAATAGAATATGCGTTATTGGTCAGGTGAAAACCCTTATGTGCTTCAAGAAACACCACTTCATCCACAAAAATAACTATCGTGTGGTTTTCATCCCAGTGGTGTCATTGGGACGTTTTTTTTCTCGTTGATGAAGATGACCGTCACGTTACAGTCAACGGCGATCGCTACAGAGACATGGTGCAACGTTATTTTTTTGTCAATTTGATGGGCTAAACATTAATGATATGTGGTTTCAACAAGACGGTGCCAAAAGCCACACAGCGGGTGAAACAATCAACATATTGAAATCAAAATTTGGTGAACGCGTTATATCGAGGTCGAATTCCATACGTAAATGTTTTGAGTATACTTCAATCCAATAATATGCGTTTTATTTAAAAAGCAAGTTGTCAAGTCCTTAATGGAAAACCCTTTACCAGAAAACCGCGGCTGCTATGAGGAGCTTAAAAGAGACATTGAACTAAGGATAGTGGACCTGGGAAAAGCCTCCTCAGCTAGATTGTCCCACAATCTCGGTACCCTAGGGACAAAGGAATGGTCGTATCAGCCAGTTCTGTGCGAAATTCGATACGGTTAGGATCAGAGGTCCGAGTCAGGCGGGTATGTCTGGAAGGTACATCACGCGGCGACATCTTGGAGGAGAGCTCTAAGGAGCAACGCCCATTGACATAACGGTAGAAGAGAACTAGTTTGCCGACGGCCCGTCGGTGCGAAGGGATCCCGAGACTGTCCGTTAGACAAGGATCGATCAGTCGAGTGTCCCTCCTCCGAGCAGCATCAAGCACAGATAATGTGGCCCAAACATGTGAGCAGTACTTAGACTAGGCCGCATCCGGGCTTTGTACGGAGTAAGGCGGTTTTGGGAGGAGAAAAGTACTTGTTAGCCTAAAGCCTTTTCCCAGCAGCTGCCGCTATTGACGAGATGTGTTCAACTCCTCGGAAATCTGGTCTCCGAAAAGCCGAAATGTACCGCTGTTTGGTAGAACTCCCATTCATCAAAACCGGATAAGCGCTAGGGCGCTTCTTGTTAGGCAAGGTACAGTACTGTGTTCTGAAAGCATTAAACTGTATCAGATTGTTGCGTCCCCAAGCAATAGTAAACCTCCAGATCTCTCGTTAGAGAGGAAGTCGCTGCTACTCTTCTTTATCCAGCTCACTGGCAGAAATAGGCTTGTCACTTTGAATTCCTGCATATAGAGTGCTGTCATCAGCAAAGCTGTGGATCGGATTGATTTCCACGCGATTTCTTGTTAAATCATCGTGTATCTTGTTACAGAGATGCCTTAGAAAATTACGCAATAGAGGCAGCTAACTTCAGTACAAACTACCAACTGCCAGATTTGGAATTCGCCGTAAATCACTATGCTCAGCCAGATATAGCTATGTTCGACTTCACTTCAATGTATGCCGCTGAAAATGCTTCTAAAGTATTGGAAAGGAATGGTCACAAATTATTGATGATACTCGTCGGAGACAGTTTACTTGAGGTAAGTTAGAATAAAAGTAGCGCATCTACAATTTGACGAGCAAGCATCTGTACTGAATCCAAATCGAACACATTTTGTAAGATATTAAATTACAGTGGTCCCGCGGTAATCCGACAAACTTTTTGCAGGGCGATGTCGGATTATCGAAATTGTCGGCTTATAGAGTACCTAAGGACCTCTATAGTCTCTCTCACTCTATAATTAGACAGGGGTCCATTGTAATGCAAATGGTGGTGTAGAGCAAATAGTGCACTTCTCAGTACGAATGATCAAAGTTGTAGGTTCGAATTCCACCGACACCAGACCCTTCTTTCATTGCCCTAAACAGCAGAAAGACTTGCACTATTTGGAAAACTAGTGGTATGGTGGCGTACTTTACTGAAATTTGAATAATGTTTATTTGCAGCCTTTCTGGCCAACGGGTTCAGGTTGTGCCAGAGGTTTTCTGTCATCGTTGGACGCAGCTTGGGCCATCCGAGGATGGGGCTCGTCAAGTCGGACATCCCTAGACGTCATCGCAGAACGGGAGTCAGTTTACAGGCTCTTAGCTCAAACGACGCCAGATAACTTAAATAAAGACTGGAAATCGTATACGTTGGATCCTTCTACCAGGTAAAATACAATACCGATATTCTCTTTATCAGTCTAATTAGATTTTTTTGCTTATTGGTATTGTTCGTTTACACAGGTCGACAATATTTTTAGCCAGAAAGCAGATATCCTAATCTTAAAGTGCAATAATAGCGATGTTTGCCTATATTTGAGGTTATGTAGCATGGTTTCTTTAAAAACAAAATAGACATCATTTCAACGTATAAGCCTTGCCGTTTTTAAACGCCGTTGGGTTTGGTTTGCATCTTTTTTCTTTTCGCTGAGATATGGCTCTTTGAAATTTTTATTTGCCCCAATTTCCCTAGTATTTGATACTCTACACCAATGATTCTCAATGTGGTCCAGAGAAAGTGATTATATATATAGGGTGCGCCATCTTTTATCTCGGTATGTAAACATGGAATAACTTTGAAACTTTGAACACAACATCTATCAAGTGGCCACCTTTATTGGCTAAAACAAAATGTGCCCGTTTTGCTGCGTTTTCCATTACTTTTTCGAGCATATTTGGTGGTATGGCGGCGATTGCGGTACGAATGTTTGCTTTGAGTTCTTCAGTGGTCTGGGGCTTGCTGGCGCACACTTGACTTTTCAAATAATCCCACAAGAAGAACTCCGGTGGGGTCAAATCTGGAGACCTGGGTGGTCAGACAATGTCACCTTTTTTTGATATCAGACGTCCAGGGAATTTTCGTTGCAGAAACTGGATTGTTTCATTTGCAGTGTGGCATGGCGCACCGTCTTGTTGAAACCAGTAACCATCAAGACCTTTTTCACGCATTTGTGGGCAGACATAATGAGCCAACATCCACCGATATCGATTTTCATCGACTGTTTCGTTTTCGTTGAAGAAAAATGGCCCAATGATGGTTTTGGCGCAAACGCCGGCCCAAACAGTCACTTTCTGGTCACGCAATGGCATTTCGTGGATCTCATCTGGATTTTCCGTCCTCCAAATGCGGCAGTTTTGCTTATTAACGCCGCAAGAGAGCGTGAAATGGGCATCGGCGGTCATCACAAGTTGCTTCCAAAAATCAGGTTCAGCATCAACCATGCGAGCGACTGTTTGGGCGTATTCCAAGCGACGTGGATGGTCAGTTGGCAATATTTTTTGTGTTAACTGCACCTTATAAGGAAACAAATGCAAATCATCCTTCAACGCCGCAACGTGGTTCCACTGCCAAAATGCTGAGCGCGGTGACGATACGACTCTTTTGGGTTCTGGGCAACCATGTCTCTGTCCGCTTCAACCAACTAATAGGAACGTCTTGGTCGTTGATGAACGGTATGTTGACGATTTCCCACTGTCCCGTACTCAAGAAAATTCAAAACCAAACGACGGATAGTGCTGTCAGACTCGATATTTTCGACGATATGCACGTTGCGTTAACACAACTGAACGACGATTTTCAATGTACATTGTGACTATTTCGGCGCGTTGTTTCGGTGTAAAGCGATTCATGAAAAAGATGGCGCACCTGCTATATATAATCACTTGCGACTAGAAAAGTATGTATCCAACTTTTTATTATTGCCCAAGTTACCGATTTTTCTTGAACAATAATTTATTGTTTTTACTGCAGGTATCCAAATCTAAATAAGGTTGCTGTTACTCCCAGGCAAGTAGCGTGTCTTTACGATACAGACGATGCTGCAAGCCTGGAAAGAATGCTCAAAAGGAATGCCGTCGAAAAGACACCCAGCGAGAGTGCTTCTAAAAAGAGGAGGCGTGGTAAGTACCTTTAAACGCTTCATTAACTATCCACGCCAACTTGCGAGGAAGTATTGTAATTGCGAAAATTTTCGAAATTGAAATCTTATGTTTTTTCATGTTATAGGACGTATAGTTCACACAAAGCCATGTCACTTTCACGTTTCCGTCGGTCTGTCTGTCACTCTGTCCTCTCAAGGTTTGATGTATCTTTCACACAAGGTTACTGCTTTGACAAGGACGAAAAAACTTAGTATTTTTTTAAAATCGACCCAGTCGCGGCCAAGTGAGGGACAAAAAGGGAAAAAAGAAATCTTCGTTTTTTAACGTTTCGGAGGCTCCTGATCATTGTCTGAAATCTTTTTGTAGTGTTAAGAAAGGGGGAGTTGTAGAGGGTGGGGAGAGTAAATCTATTTTTTTTGCCGGTACTATGTTCATACTCTTCCTACACCGCTATTCTATGCACCTAACAGTACAATCTGCTAAAACCCAAACTTTGCCAATTTTGGCCTAATAAACAAGGTTGAAGTCGCCTTAAAATATACTAATCTCAAAAAATTCTCTCCAAAATCTTGTACAGCAAGATTTCAACTTTAATTTAGAACATTTTTTTTCAAATAAAATACAATTATTTTCAGTTTTTTTTTTGGATCATTCGGAATGAAAAAGTCTTCCATTAGCTTTTCTCTAAAGTAACCATTTTCGAGTTATAAACTATTTAACGTCCGAAAAGCACATAAATTGGATATATTCAATGCTTCCGTGCGCACAAGGTCGTTTCATTTTTTAACTTTCAAACTTCCCTACATTGCATCTCTTTTGACATTACTGGTGCTATAATAATACTGTGAAAAAATGTTACATAAGTAATTCAAGTTTTTTTTTGTAGGTAATGTGGATAATGAAGTTCTGCTCACGTGGCTTTCTAAACAGCTGAAAAGTCACGAAGATATTCAGCTGACAAACTTCGCCTCCATATTCAAAGACGGTAACATTTTATGTGCAATAATTCATCACTACCGACCAGATTTGTTGGATTACAACACCGTCAAGTCTGAAGAACCAGCTGTGAAAAATCAACTAGCCTTTGATATCCTAGAAAAGGAATTAGGTAAGCATCTTGCTTGTTGATCTATGTTGATAATCACCTGAAGGCACAAGTAACTGGAAAATATTTGACTAGGCACTGAAGATTCTTTATCTTGATGATCTGCTGGCAATAACTAACTTTATACTATAGGTTACCCAAAAATGTAGAATTTGACATTTTCTTACGTAGAATATATACTAAGTGACATATAAATCCGAACACCCAGTTTAAATGGTTTTATTTTAATAAAAGTTGGTGAATGTATTTATCTTACTGTAAATAACAAGTGAAAAAATTTTCAGCCTGATCAGTTGGACATTCCGGTTTTTATACTGCTTTTTTTTAATTCACTAACGCTCTAAAAATGAATATTTCAGCCGCAGTAAAGAATCAACGTTGGCGGATTTTGGTTCTTGACATCCTTTACGATCGGTTACGATGCCTAGAGTACGGAGACCTGTACGATTTCGTCAACTTAGTGAGCTTAGTAGATACTGGTGCACTCTGGGCGCCCCCCACCACTTCCACTTTTTGGCCACGCCCACCACATCCACCGCGTGCTCTGATTGGCGGATCAAACGGCGGGAAATTTGAACGGGGTTGATGGTATATGTTGATTGGCGGGAACCGCTAGATCCACCGCGTGCTCTGATTGGCGGATCAAACGGCGGGAAATTTGAACGGGGTTGATGGTATATGTTGATTGGCGGGAACCGCTAGATCCACCGCGTGCTCTGATTGGTGGATCAGACGGCGGGAAGTTTGAACGGGTTGATGGTATATGTTGATTGGCGGGCCCCGTTAGATAGCGCACCCGACCGGAAGTGATTCAGACAGCCGACGATAGTAAGGTGTAGT